TGGGGGAAGCGGCGGGGGAAGCACGGCCCCATCTGCTCCACCACGGCCCCTTCCAGCCAGGAGGGCCCCTGTGCCAGCAGCCGGTCCCCCAGGTACAGCCTGCCACAGCCGCACGTCAGGGCCGCCTCAGCCCCGCAGCCACCGGCCCCGCTGCAACCGGGACGGGCCGCTGCAGGGCCGCAGAGCCCCGGGGCCCCGCAGCCCTTCCCTCCCCAGGGCACAGCAGGGGCGGCGCACTCACCGATAGAAGTGCTCGAAGGTGTGGGCGAACTCCAGGCCACCGAAGATTACGAAGGGCTCCAGGATCTGCTGCAGCTGCGCTGTGCTGCCCGCAGCCCCGTGCAGCTCCTGCACCTTCCCATCCAGGTAGCGGGCGAACTGCTCACTCACCTGCGGAGGGACGGGGATGGCTGCGTGGGCACGGGGCGGCCGCAGCGGGGACAGGGCACGGGCAGGAGCCCTGGGGCACTAAGAAGGGGACACGGGTGAGCCAGTCCAGGCAGGGAGCACACCACACCGAGCACAGGCACCTGCGAGGGCCCCGGACTCACGTGCAAGGCGGTCAGGAAGGAGAGCTGCAGCAGAGCCCCGGCAAAGCCCTGGCCCAGGGCTGCCACGAAGGCGGCCTGCTGCCCAAAGAGCTCCTCTGTGGCACCACGCAGGCGCCGGTACAGCGCGCAGTACCGCTCCACGACGTCCGGTGCCTGCCCTGACATCTCCAGGAACCGCTGCACCTGCGGGCACGGCCGAGGGCTGAGCTGCAGTGGGACTGACACAGGCCCAGCCAGCACCCACCGCCCCGCACCCTACCTGCTGCTGCACCACGCCACACCAGCATCGCACCATGTCCCACAGGCCGCCAGACTTCACTGCCACCGCCACCCGGGCTGGCGTCTCCTTGTTCCTGCCCTCCTTCCCGCCTGCCAAGGCACGGCCGAGGCTCAGCCCCGCACGCTGCCCCTTGCCTGCCCCGCAGAAGGCAGCCCCGCGCTCACCGGCCGCTCCCGCCTCCTCCGGCTCCACGCCGCCCGGGTCCACGTGCACCAGGAGCTGGGTCAGGCGCCGCACACAGGAACCGAAGGTGTCACCGCGG